TCTAGATCTACGTTCAAATGATATTTTGAAACAAGAGTGGTTAATAGTTTTTTAATAAAAAAAATCCATTTAGATAGAAACAAGAGGATAATCAGTTGAAAATGTGCAAAGACGAGCCAATGGAGCACGACATACATCAAATTGACGAGGGAAGATTGGATTGAATATAATATTGGTATGATTGGATCAATAATTAACAACTTAATGAAATTAGAGTTTAGTTATTATCAACAAAAATTGAATGGGATTATGATTTCCCAACAACTAATCACTCTTTTTTGTACTCGTGTCCAATTATTAGCTTTAGTTGGGTTATTATTCTTTTTCTAGTTATAAAATAAAACTCACATTAATAAATATAAATAACACACATTTAAATAATTATAAAAGAAACAATTATTATAAAATATATTTGAAATAATAATCATAATATATTTAAATTATTTTCATAAATAGCGAAACTTATATTAAAATAAAATCTAGATTAAAAATTATTGATGATATTTATGTATGATGGAACTTTAATTTGAATTATCAAAATTCTCAATTAGTTGACAATAAAAACTCAAATATTTGCAATCATTGGCATTTGAACATGAGATCTTTAAGAATAATAATAATTTCTTTAATTACTGAGGACGCTTAATTCGTGTATATTTATCAGTGTATTAAATATTAATCTTAAAATAAAATATAAATTTGATCCTCTTAGCTTTAGTTTTTTCCCCTCTCTCTCTCTCTCTCTCTTACGTGTGAGCTATACTAACAAGCTTGTTAAATAATAAAAAAAGAAACAAAAAGTGAGGAGGTCTAAATTTAATGGAATGGAAAATTTTGCTAAAGTATCAAATTCAAATCACGCTTTGCATGAACCTACCTTCTTTCCTTTTCCTTGCTGACTTTTATTATGAAACCATACCCAATTCTTTTTTACTTCTCTTTCTCCCTTCTTTTTAATCAAAACTATATATATATATATATATATATATATATATATGATCCTTTACGCCGCGTGAAATTTATTAGTTTTACATGTTTTAATATTGTTTTATGAGTGAAAATGGACGATTGTGATTAACAATAAAAAATGTGAATATATTTATTGAATAAAAAACTAAGAGATAATCTCTATCATATTCTTTCACTCATCTAACTAATCTAAAAGAATGTAAAATTAAAAACTTTATATATATATATTGAACATTTAAACATATTTAATCCCACATCCTCTTATGTATTGTATAAATAATAATACCAATCAAATTGAACTCCATCGATAATTCTCATTTTATAGTTGAAACATCCAAATTAAAATTGTAATATCAATATGTTGTAATTACTTTTTATTTAAAAAAATATTTTATTTTCCCACAATAAAAACAAAGAAATGAACTGTAAACAAGACTAATTGGACCGTCTTTAAATATAGCTATCAACAAATTCAAGACTAACTGGCAGTAAGCAAGTGAAATAAAATGGATGGATTGTAATAAGAAATTTGGATTAATTTGGGTGGGTTGGAAAATTAACTTTAATTTAGGAAAAAAATAAAAAAAAATTATAATTTCCAGTATGATATGGACCCGTGAGGGATGCAATTGCAAACATCTGTATATTCATAGGAGGTGACAAGAAAATGTCATTTTTATGTAGAAAACGTGTAAACAGAAATTATTCAAAAACAATTATTGCCATAACTATTGCATGCTAGGATTGATAACGAAATATTTGTAATGTTTGCCAGCAGTTGAGTCTTGTGTACTTTTCTGACTTTAATTTTCTAAAAGAAAAAAAAATAGGTTTCTTTAATTTGTCTTTTTTCTTTCTTTCTAAAGAACTATTTTTTAAAAAAATTAATAATACAACCAATGGTATTTTATGGATATAATTCTCTAATAAAAGAAAAGTTTTGAGTTAAATTAAGAAAATTTTGATGTTAAAAAATAAAATGGAGAAAAAATCATAAAAAGTTATTTAAGAAGATGTGATGTATTCTACAATGATTGATAAAATTATCTATAGGAGATGACGATGTTAACAAAGTCGTCGGAGGCTACTTTGACAAACTAGCGACTTTGCTCCATTTTAAATTTAATCATTTACATTTTGAAACCAAATTGCAAAGATATGAAAACGGACGGACTAACATTTTTTTTTTTTTTGAAAACACCATTAAGTGAATTTTGAGCGTCTTTCTTAAACACATCGTTTCATTTTATTATTGTTAATTTTATAAAATTTCATTTTAGTCATTATACTTTAAATTTCTTTTCAATTTAGTCCTAAAATACGAAAAAAAAAATGGAGCAAAGCCATCGGCAGCTACCGTTAACTTTGCCAAAATCGATATTTTTATTGCCGATAACTCTATTTGCACTACAGAAACATTCATACTTTTCTTCAACATACATTTCTCTTTATTTTTGTCAGAATCTTTAAAACCTTTTTATGACCGGGATTAAAAAAAATCCTACGACAACATAATATCAAGATCTGATATCAGGATTTAGATCTCAACATTGTGAATTGAAAAAATTAGATTGGTAGGGTCTTTCATACAATAAACATTTACAGTACCTAATTTAAATTAGTTAATTCATAAATTAGATACCAATATGATTTATATGTATATATAATCAAGAGTCTAATAACATATTCGAAAGAGCAACAAACATATTACAAATGAATCAAGACTACCCAACAAAATTAAATTAAATTTTGTAACTGATATAATACTGCAATCAATAATTTTCAAATAAATGCTTTAAAGGTACTCTTTAAAAACAAATTGCAATGCAATCATTCTATACATTAAAAATATGAAATAAAATATATCAATTTTCACATTTAATGTAATACTATTGTTATAAATAATATCATTAAAATCTAACTGGAGCATATGTAAAATATGAATAATATATAAACATAATTGTTTAAAAATATTAAAATAAAATCCTAAAAAACCTTTAGTGACTGCTCTTTCCCTAAGACAAATGTCATTGGCCGAAAGTGTTTTTCAACCTTTCATATTTATGTGTCTTTGTCCAACTCAATTATCTATTTAATTTAAAATTGAAGTCTTGAAAGTCAAAATTTTTAATATTAATCTTTAAAAAGAATCTCATTTTTCCAGGTTTCTTGCCTTCCATTTCCCATGGTTATAAATTAAAATTACCAACTTTTTGTCACCAGTAGCACCTGGACCCTCAGGAACCGTGTCGGTCCATTTGATATAGATAAAAATATTGCCTTGCTCAAACTATATATGTTTTAATACTGTATAAATTAGAGAATAATAATCTTATAAAAGAATTTAGTGAAATAATTGTAGAAAAAGGAAATTATTAAAATAATACTCGTCAAGTAATTTTAATGATAAAAGTATTATTTTTATAAAGTTATCAAAACACATGTCCTGAAATTTTGATCAAACTCATATCAAAACTACAGTTAAAAAAAAGTATTGAATACTCAGATTTCTTTATCACTTGTTGTCTTCTAAAATAATCGAGATCTAAATTGATGAATTATTTTTGAAAACTTAAAATCAATAATTTTGATCATAAAATACTCAGATTTTTTTGTCACTTATTTTTTTCTTCAAGCGTCTAAATATACCTTTTGTAAACATAAGTTCATTGAACGATTAAAAATAACGCTTGTAAATCTATGTTATCATCGTTGTATGCTTCATGTAAACATATATGTTCAACGCATGTTATGTGCGTGTTTTTTTGTTGTTGATAAAATTCATAATAATTTTTATATTTAATCATTTTTTCTTTTACTTTCTTTTCTTTCATTTGAATTCTTTTCTCTATTTTGACACCAGTATTTTAAAAAGTACCTCAAATTCTTTAAAAAAAATACAAATCAACATCATTTTATTACTTTTTAAATAAATAACTCTAATCTAACCAAGACAATAGAATCTTTTATTTTCCTTAAAAATAATTTTGTAAAATTAAATCTAATCTTGGGAGGGAGTTTTATCTTTCTATGCAGCCAGACACAGACACAGGCTCTCAAATCTGTACAATTCATATGTCAAAATCATACACAAAGCACTAAAGGTGTGCTGTATTCCATCATTTTTATATATAAAATTCCCACTTTTCAAGTACAAACCAGACATCTACTGCAAACCAATTTTGAATAAAAAATAAGATATTACTATTGTTATTTTTATATAAAAACTGAATAAAAACAAAAGATATTGTTTTCTAATAAAATTAGAACCCTGTTTTATACAACCTACTTGACATGGATAAATTAAAGAAGTACAGGCTGTTCCATCTACTAAGCCTGCACATATAATATATATTTTTATAAATAAATTATTAAAATTTTGCACACTCAATGAAATAAAACTTTTAAAAGTTCTTAGTTTTTTTATTTAATTTTAAGTTTTAACTTAATTTTATAAATAAAAAGTAACATATTTAACTCTAATGAAAATGAATGAAACAAAATGTTTCACGTTAATAATACATGTATGAAATATTAGGTTATTATTTTTCAACTGACTTGATATTCGATTAACAGTCAAATATATATATAATATATATATATTATGTTTGAGTGAATTTATTTTTAATACAATATGTATATTATTCAAATTCCTTCTCATTCTTGAACGTTTAAATATATTTAATATTACATATTATTGTATATTATTTCAGCAATAATATTAATTACATTAAACTTAATTGAAGAACGATTGTTTTTTATTAGGATACTTTTGATGAAAAGTAATACCTACCATCATCATCATCTTTGGATCTCATCGATGAGGCATCCTATAAATATTTGTCATTATAGTAAACATTAAAAAAAACAATAATGAATTTGTACTTTAATTAAAACAAACTTTCAGTGACTAAGTTGAAAGAAGTTGATAAGTTAAGGGAGTAAATGTAGATTTATCCATGAAAGATTAATGGTTTTGGTGGTCTTTACGACGTAACCCTAGTACTATTTAAGGAAACCAAAAGCCATTTCAACGTATACAGAAACACAAAAAGAATAGAAGAATCAATGTCTTCTCTTCATTTTCTTCTTCCCTTCACGATTTTACTTCTTCTTTTCCATCAAAATTATTGTTTTCCTTCCAAACAAACACTCCTTTTACCGCTCAAGAAAACCCTCGGTGCTCATCATCGACGCCCTCTTCCCCCTTCCGCCGTCGCTGTCCCCGCCACCGACAAGTTACCCTTCCGCCATAATGTTACGTTAACAGTTTCGTTGTTCGTCGGTTCGCCGCCGCAGGAAGTTACTATGGTCCTCGACACCGGGAGTGAACTATCGTGGCTTCACTGTAAAAAAACGCCAAATTTAAATTCCGTTTTCGCCCCTCAACTCTCCAAGTCTTACAAACCCGTCCCTTGTATTTCACCGGTTTGTAAAACCCGTACCCATGACTTACCCGTACCCGCTTTCTGCGACCCAAATAATAAATATTGTCACGTGGCTGTCTCTTACGCCGACGCTACCTCAATAGAAGGAAATCTCGCGTATGAAAATTTCGTTATCGGATCTTCGGCCCGGCCCGGGTTTTTATTCGGGTGTATGGACTCAGGTTACAGCTCGAATTCGGAGGAAGATTCGAAAACTACAGGGTTAATGGGCATGAACCGCGGGTCGTTATCTTTTGTTAGTCAAATGGGATTCCCCAAATTCTCGTACTGCATATCGGGTTTCGATTCGTCCGGGGTTTTACTCCTCGGCGATGCGAGATTCTCGTGGCTTCGCGAGTTAAATTATACTCCTTTGATTCAAAAATCCGACCCGTTACCGTACTACGATCGGGTTGCATATACAGTCCAACTAGAAGGTATTAAAGTCGGGAATATATTATTGGGCCTACCGAAATCCGTTTTTTTACCCGACCACACCGGAGCGGGCCAAACAATGGTCGACTCGGGTACCCAATTTACTTTCTTATTGGGTGAAGTTTATACCGCTTTACGAAACGAGTTTTTGCAACAAACAAGAAGAGTTCTCCGGGTTTACGAAGATCCGAATTTCATCTTCCAAGGGGCAATGGATTTATGTTATCAGGTCACGGGTTCATCTCGACAAAGTTTCTCGAATTTACCGCCAGTTAGTTTGATGTTTAGAGGTGCCGAGATGAGTGTATCCGGCGAGAGACTATTATACCGGGTACCCGAGATGAGTAAGGGGAACGATTCGTTGTATTGCTTCACATTCGGGAACTCTGATCTCCTGGGGATCGAGGCGTTTGTGATTGGGCATCATCATCAACAAAACGTGTGGATGGAGTTTGATTTAGTAAATTCAAGGGTTGGATTTGCTGAGATAAGATGCGATCTGGCTGGTCAAAAGCTTGGGGTGGGTCCATGAAATGTAGGACCCCACCAAAAGAATGTAAAATTATGAAGGTTTTTTTTGGGTGTTAATGATGGACCCACATAATTCCTATCAACGGCCCACCTTGGTTTGACGAAGGTGGACCATTGATCGGACAATGTATGGCCTTGATCGGTAAAGCATGCAATGTATGGACTTGATTGAAAAGGCATGGGAATCATTTCTTTTTATTGTATATATCTTTTTTTTTAAAAAAAATTGTTTTCTGTATGTGCAGGCTTTTAGGTACGCTCAAATGATTATTTTAGTAATTGAAACTTTAAAAGTCAAAAAATTATTATTAAATTTATCAAATTATTATAAACGATCATTGTGGCATTATAATAAGTATACAAATTTGATAAATTTCATTACCATATTGTAACAATTCAATAAAATTTAAAGGTTATTTTATAAAAGTTTGATAGATTAACTAACTATTGTAGGACTTTTGAAAGCTTAATAACTAAAATGAGAATTTGAAAATAGTTTAGTAACTTTTTGTGTTCTTTACTCAAAATTTAAGGGTTAAAATGACTCTTTTGGAAACATTGAGGGCAAAAAATATCATTATACCTATTAATAAAATAGGATAAAGTACATAAATGGTCCCTTGATTATATGATGTTTGTTTTATCGAGTCCCCCAGCTATTAAAAATTATAAAATGATCCTTCAATTATAGGACATTATTTTGTTAAATCTCCTACTATTGAAAGTTACAAAATAGTCACCCCACTATTTATATATTCCAAATCCGTCTTTTTCATTAAAAAATTATGGTCGTTTGAGCTATACGTTAACATATGGACTGTGATATTATGATGGTCTTTTGAGATCATATTTTATTATCTCCATATTAACAGATTAACGTCTAGCTCGGGATGTAGTCAATTTTTTAAAGATAAAGAACGAATTTTGAACATATGAATTGTCAGATGATAATTTTATAACTTTTAATAGTCAAAAATTAAAAAAAATAATATCTTATAGTATATAAATATTTTATAACTTTTAACTATTAAAATATTTAAAAAATATATATTCTTATGATTTATGTACTTTATCAATAAAATAAAATAATGGGAGGTCTATATATTTTGACTGCCTTTTATGATTTTTTATTAGCTGGAAGGGGAGGATAGGGTACGTTTCCAGGTTTTACGAACTGTGGTGGACCCTACCTATCAAAAGCTTTGATACGATTTCGAGAAAGCACGTGTACATCTAATAACGAAGCTTTTATCACAAAGTCAAATTTATACATCGGCACGTGCAAAAACTAGGACCCACCTCAGTTGCACTTTCCTCTTTTTTATAATATATATTTTAAAAAGAAGAAATTCAGTCAGAAGACAGAGATATTCCTCTACTCTGTTGTCACCTATCAGTTTCTGACAGTGCCGTGTTTGTTTGTTTTGTCTAAAAACGATAATAGAAGGCAAATTTCATCAATGGGAGGCAATTGTTTTGTTCTTTGCTCATTGCAGTCCCTAGTTTTAAGAATTTAGGGTTAATTTGGAAGCAAAAAAATATTTTTGACTGTAGTGACATGTTCACGTGATTCAGTGTAATTTTTTTTATTTATATAACCACTAGTATCGAATTTATTAATCGATTAATTTAGATTAATTATTGTAAAGGTCAATTATGGATAAGATATCATAATATAATTTTCTTCCCCCTTAATTACATAATTTAAACCCCTAATATTATTTAAAAGATATAATATCTCATCGTATTAAATCAACGTATAGTTGATGATTCATTCCAATTTTAAAAGATGTTACATTTAACTTGATCTGATTTTACATCTTATTAATTCGATTAAATACAATGAGTTGAGTTAAACTACTATAGATGAAGGCTGCTGACCCTTGGCAGTTTGAGGTTACAGGGACTATGAGTTGAGGGCTAAGGAGGATCATCTCAATGAGACGTGAAGTTTGGTCGATTCTGGAATGACTAGTTTTGTGAGTGTTTGTGAGATCTGGGCAGACATGCGGGTTAAGGGAGTTGAAATCTCTTTCCCGTTGTATTTGTCTAAACATTTTATTATTGCTTGGCTTGCTATTCTGAATCGTCTTGCAATTAAAGACTGATTGCTTCATATGGGACTTGTTGTGTATTCTGTATGGATCCGTTACTGAGATTAGAGATCACATTTTTTCCAGACGTCTTTTTCTTATTGTATTTGTAAGAGGGTCCTCGGGCTTTGCGGAACGGGAAGGGCATTGAGCTTGTTTTAGAACCTTAGTTAGGAATAAGGAGAAAATTTTATCTTGTATTAAGGAGGCTGTGTATATAGAACTCTCTTGGAGGGATATTGATAGGAAGGATGTGGTTATTTTTCAATTATGTATAGCTTGAGATATTCTTGAGTGAGTACCAAATTTTTTGTAAGTACTCGATCTCCTTGTAATGGTGTACTGCTTTCATTTAGATACAGTACTAACAATTTATCCCCAAAAAAATGGATTCACATAATAAAATTAAAAGAATCAATTATTATTAAAATAATATTTTTAGTAACTAAAAAAATCAATTTTTAATAAAATTATTGTTTCATTTGATTTAAGAAAAAATTATATTTAAACAATATTAGAGTTCAAATGAAACTAAAAGTCAAATAGAAAAATAAAAAAGTTGAGAAATTAATGGGAAATTAAGTAAAAACTTGGAGGCTAAATATGCAATTATCCAAAATATGTCAAGAAAAAGGAGGTTAAAAACGGCGACGTTATGGAATATAGTTTACACCGTTTCGGAGTCTTCGTTAAGGTTCAGACCAGAGAAAGCAAAATAATAATTGTTGGCAAGCTGACGAGGAAACTCAGGAAAGGCGTTAGGCAAGGAAAGCCTAACTCGTCCGGGTCAAATAGCTCTTTCGCAGACTCAGTCCTTTAATCGCGAATCTAATACCTTGGACATTATATTTCTCGAAGAAGAAACCGGTACGCCGTCGTTTGCTCCCTCCGATCTCCGTAAGTATCCTTTTTTTCTATTCCATTTCGTCATTTCTTATTCATTTTTTTACAATTATCTGAAAGCTTTTAATCCACTGATTAACGATCTATTAATTGAAGCCACTTATTTATGTAAATAATTAGATGTTAGGATTTTTAGGTAATTTTGCTGGAAATTTCGGAATCGAATCGATGTTTTTTATTTGTTGTTCGATTAACTAATGTAAAATCTATTAAATTTGATTGCAGATAGAATCATTTCGATTTAGGTGGAATTTTGAAGGATGGAGTTAATAACATACAAAATTTCCTCTTTTAATATATACATATATATATATATATACGTTGGCAAGTATAGGAAATGAGAATTGAATATGATTTCATTGGTTTTTCTGATTAAATGTTACTATGTTTTCTTTGTGTAGCTTTTTTTTTGGACTCAATTTTAGTAAATTTAATTCATTTTATTCTGCTGAGACTGGAATATTTGGGATTTTTTTCATTTTTATTTGTATTTAGTTGGGCTGGTGAATTTTTGCTTACTACAACAATGAGTTTCGTTTACCGAGGGACGAGATCAGATTTAGAGAGTGGATTTCCCGGCTTTACTTCCGAGAGGCAGACTGTGGTATGTTACTATTACTTCACACACTTATGTTTCATTGTTATGGTCACGATACATCATTCCATTTAGACTTCGATTGTTCGAATTGATGATGAAAACCCATTTACAGTTATGTTTTGTTCATTCATAATTGTTTTTAATTCATTTTTTCCGGCATAAATATTTTGATTTAAGTCAATTGGTTCTTAGCATGTCCATACAGGACGTCCGGTTAATTCCAACTCTCTTGTGTTTTTCGTTACAGTTACTTGTTTATCATTGTGTTTATCTTAATTTTTGCTTTCCTTTTTTAAAAAAAAAACACTTTTCTTGTTGCTACAGTACTTCTGCTATTCATGATTTTGAATTCACAACAGATGTCACCTAATTTTCTGGTAATTTCCTTCACCAAGTAGTTAAGTTTCTTATGGTGTTTGCTTCTTTGGTATAAAACGTTGAACTAATTTAAGGGGCTTTTATGTTACTTTATTCATGTAGCTTTGGCTGGTGCTTGGTGTGTTTTTTATGGCAACGTCTTTAAGAATGTATGCCACCTGTCAACAACTTCAAGCTCAGGCACAAGCCCATGCTGCCGCGGCGAGTGCACTTTTGGGCTATGCTGAACTACGGTTGCATATGCAACCATCTATTGCACTTGCAACCAGAGGGCGTCTACAAGGTCTGAGATTGCAGCTTGCCCTTCTTGACCAAGAATTCGATGATCATGGTAAGGTGTTCAAAACCTGGTTTCATAATGAATTTCTCAAGTTTCATAGTTTGATTTTTCTAGGACACCATCAATTTGATAATCTTGGTAACGTGTTCAAAATTCGATGATCTTTCCCTTCTACTAGGTCTTATAAGTGGCAGGGATTGTAAATTTACAAACCATATCTAGGACACTTTTTGATTGTTCCTTCCCCTCTTCGGTATTGTGCTTCATGATGCTCAGAAGTTTTCTTTTTCACTAGACTATGAAACTCTGAGAGCACTTGGTTCCGACAATGTCCCCAACGCTGCTTCAATGAGTGAAGAAGAGATAAATGCCCTGCCTGTTCACAAGTACAAGACCTCTGCTCCTCAATGGTTAGTATCGATTTTCTTCATTTATTTGTTTTCATGTCAAGAACATAAAACTTCCTCCTCTGAATGTTGGAAGTGCAACCATTTGGTTTTATAAAAAAGAGGTATATGTGTCGACTGTCGAGTTATTCCTTGTTATGTCTTGTTTGGATATTAAACAAAGCCTTTAAAGGAAGCATGGAGGAAACTTTATGTCTTCTGTCCGCACAACATTTGCGAGCATCTCCTGTGGATCATCTGATACCAATTGTTAATGCTGTATTTTTGTCGATGGGGCTATATTTTTTGAATGAGAAACGGATGATGACTGATCTTTAGAATGTGAAGTTATTTTTTGTGATGTTAAAGCTATGTGTGCTCTATTGAACAATTTTATAAGCTAATAGTCTTACAGAAGTCAGTTCTGCTTGCAGCAACGTCTCTCCGATGCAACAAGTGTCATCTTCCAACTCACCTCAGGTATTTTTACTTCTCTTCACTCTTTTCTATCTCAACATGATTTTAATCGGGGATTCACTCCAACTTTGCTTTATTTCGAATCGATATTTTAAACGGTATGATCCAGTAATTTATTGTTTTTGGTAGAAGAGGCAGGATTCGACCAATCCAATTAGCATCAAGAAGGGTTCCGAAGATGAATTGACCTGCAGTGTTTGCTTGGAGCAAGTTAGTGTCGGCGATCAACAAGTTAGTGTTAGCATCAACAAGTGTCGGCGATCTTATCTGCAGTTTACCCTGTTTGCATCAGATTCTTTTCCCCCTCCTTTCATTGTTTATGAAGTCGAGTATGGTAGAGGCAAATATTGAATGTCCTTGTCATATCACCTTTCACAAGTTTATGATAGATTAACTGCAGTTTCATGCTAACTGCATCGACCCGTGGTTGCGACAACAAGGTACGTGTCCTGTTTGTAAATTCCGGGTCGGATCTGTATGGCAGGAAATCGGTGGAATAGATGCTTCCTTCATGGCTTAAGTACTCTTCGAGGACACCTGCTTGTTCGTCAATGTATCTAACATACATGCATGCACATGCATATTATTTCTTGAAGGGCTGTAATTACTTGATGGCCAACGATCATATGATCACCTAACAAGTAGTGTAATGATATGCTTGTACTTATCGGTTATGTTGCCGATTGGTTCCGGTTGGAAAATTTTGTTCGGAATTTGTCCAGTTACAGGTCGAAGGCTTGAGAAAGCTTGAGCCTGCGATGCATATTGTAAACTTGACAGTTCGTTTGTTCATGTCGTATTATTTTTATAAATAATATTAAACAAACTTTGTGATTTTAAGTTAATAAAAAATATATTTATAAATAGTCCAATTATCTAATATAATGTTCCTATTATTTTAGGCTAAGCAACTATTAAACAAACTGTGATTCTAAGTTAATAAAAGATATATTTTTAAAAAATTGAAAGAAAATAAAATGGGTCTGTTTTAATGTGGCTTATTTAGGGAAATAATAAGAATTTTTTTTAAAAAAATTAGGAGATAGGGGTATTGAAAATTTATTTAGGGAATTAGGTTAAAAGAAATAGAAATTGGTTAAGTCGTCCCTAGTAGTTAATGATTCTTCTGTTGAGATAAAAAATAAAATTGGAATTAAAGTCGGTTGCGTTTGTGGGTGATTTTATAAAAATCCAGCGTAGTTGATGATTTAAAAGGTCTGATTCGTGTTTGTGTTAACATACATATAATAGGTTGGATTATACATTTTTTTGCAGAGTGCGAATATATAATATTGTTATATATAGTTGATTTCCCATTGAATCCTATCAAATAGGCTAAATTAAAAACCCACCAAATGAGCTTTGGACTCGTATATAATCATTGAGCTTGATGGAATACGGCTCAGCCCAATAATATTCTCAAAGTTTGAGCCTAGGAAAAAGCTTTTTATTTTATCATGTGTTTTTTTAGATGAAGAGATGTTCAAATAATATTTTTTAATTATCCAATTCAATTATTTTTAATATGGAGACATGTGATGCAATTTTTTAATAGTTCGGAGTGATTACAAGATAATATTTGTTCATAATCTTTTTAAACTATTAATAACATATATATACCTTGTAGATTTATTTGTTTGAACTCGGATCCTTTAGAAAGAATAACACTCTTTTTTACCACTAAAGTCACGCAATAGATTCACACATGATGCCATCAACTCTTCCTAGAAATGAAAAATATATTGTAACACCAATAAAGTTACTTATGAATTGAATACTGGATTTGACATGAGAAACATATTTTACAATTTAAAATATCTTATAATATTCAAACTAGTTTACATTAGTCATTATATTTTTAATAAAATTTATACAAAAATATTTATTATTTTCGGTACAAATTATAACATGGGAAGGGAATAACAACACTAAAAATTGAAATCTGATTTTTGAAGTCGGGATAAAGTCTCAACCACTTATATAAGATAATATCGACATAAATTATAATCATTATTTAAGTTAGAGTAATTCTTTTATATACAAGTTATGTAAACTAAAGTAATATAATCCTATTTATTTGAACTCTAAAATCTAAAATTTTATCCCCTAAATTCCAAATTCTAAGCATAAACCCTGAAATCTTAAATAAGACATGCAATATTAAAATAGTCATGTTTATATAAATTAAAATTTACACCACTTGTATATCAGATAATTTTTCTTTAAGTAATACACCTACATAAGATTAAACTATTAATTTCCCCTTTTTCATGTACACAAAAGCATACCTTATATTTTATGAGACCACATCAAATAGTGCTATTGTGATGCGGGTTTAAGAATGATCAAACATTTTGCATGCCAATAGTATTATTTTATGAGAGAAATAATGAAAAAGCATACCTTATATTAAAAAGTTCGTGTTCATGTTCATGTACAAAGGTTTAGGTAAAGTCCAAATGCAATGAAAAAAAAGCAAAGAGAAATGGGAATTTGGTGAGTTGTGGTCTAAGTATACACACCCACATACAAAATCTAAGGCAAAGGCAAACGTACCCATAATTCAATGCTTAGGGATAATCTAATAAATTATTATCTTGGAGACATTATCCCTCAAAGGGGACCATTACCCTTCAATTATTGTACATCCCAATGGCCAAAGCTTTCCTACAATAAACTAATAAAATCTCATGTGGGCAAAAAGCCCACACTACCACCATCCCTAATAGTTCCTTTGCTAACTGCCAAAAATACTACTACATCAACAAGTGTTGCCAATGATGGAGACCCACTAAGAAAATTATATAAACTCTTAAAATTTTACAATTATACATTTTTAAGAAAATTATTTTTTAAATTATCGATCTCTCATTTGTTAGATGATTTATTCAGATCATAGTTTAGTAGGATTGATTCTCCTAATCTAGTTTATTTTTTTACAATATTAATATTTAAACTTTTCTTATAGATATGAAGTAATTATAAGTTAATATATGATCGAAAGTATCTCAATTATTTAATAATAAACGCTTAACATTCATACAAACGACATGTTCAAACCTAAAAATTCTAAAAATAATAATCATCACTTTAATTATTAATATCGTTTCATTTCTAATTAGTAATTCTTAATTTATTTTTATTATAAATGTAAAATTGTAAACTTACTAAAACTCTTGTGAAGAGAGGGTCCCATTTTCACTTACCTCCCATGTGACAGACGGTACAATTTAGAAGATAACCACCCTATGTGAAAGTGACATGTGGAAATTTGCCAATTTCAAGGTTTTTAACATATATTGTTAAAAAAACTTAGGTGGCATTGATGTGACCGTTGACCAAACAAGGACCTAAAGGCTGGGTCTTTTTTGTAGGGCTTCTCCTATATAAGGTGATTCTCAGGGTTAGAGAGCTTAGCCCCAAAAAAAGTATTCATTATTTTGGCTTTTAGGTGATAGGTTTTAACACCTTGTTTGGTTTAGTAACTAGTACTTTAGGGGGGGGGGGGTTAGGGTTTAGACCGAAATCTATGGTCACTTAAATGACGGATAGGCATGGGTGTTAAAGTTTAAAGGGTATTAGTGCCACCTTTCCCTACTACGGACCACTTTATTGCAAAATTAGGCCTAAATGGATTAAAATTTCATGATAATTTGACATGTTTAGATGAAGATTTGGTTCTCATCGTCTCTTCAAATAATATTATTTTCAAAATTTGAATATGGGTTTTCGAAGTTGTAGTGTATTTTATTATTAAATATAGATTGATCCGAATAAAAATTCAGGATAAATTATATTAAGATCAATAAACTAGGTTCGATTAATCATTTCAATCACTAAATTTTAAAAATTTAAACAATCAATATTAAATTTATCAAAATAAAAATTTACCTAATTATCATTAAATTTTATCGAATCATTTATAAACTTATCTCTAAATTTATCAAATGTTAATACTTATTATAACGTCACATTAATTATTTTTATAACGGTGTGATAAATTTATAATCATTTTATAATTTAAAAATTTTGTGACCAAAATAATCATTTGAGCATAGCCTATTAATCTCTGGTGTACTTTATAAAATACTGATTTTTTTTTATTAATGTGTGATAAGTATAAAATAATATATGCTCAAATATTAACAATTCCTTTTGGATTCAATATCATTTGTTTCGTGCAAAAAAAAATTAAAATTTTAACTATTTTTAGAGAGTGTGTTTTAATATATATATATATATATCAATCCCCGTGAAGAGCATTTTATATCAAATTGTTTAAGTCGATGTTAACGACAAAATTAATGCACTAAAATTTCAATCAAAATACTTAATCATTTTGGATAAGATTTGTGGGGGTGACTAATGTTTTCCCCCCACTTTCTTTAATTGTTCTATTAGGGTTCTTCCCCAATTCTCTCCACTAACTTTAGAAATTTCTATTTTTTCCCGTTTTGTTCTTAAATTATTCTTAAGGTCTTCAATTTTTATATTTTGAATAATTCTATTAAAATCGTATTAACATGTTATCATATTCTTATAAAATCTTAAATCATAATTAATTAAAAATTTTATCATTTAATTAGGAATGATATGATTCGAATCGAAGTTTACACACCTTACTTTGATGACCTAGAAGATGCATGGCATGAAGAAAATGTGGGGAGAAAATGAAAGAAATTGTTTGACCTAAATCTATAGGAAGACCCAAATGAAAGTGAGAGGTCTATCAAAGAGAAACGAAAGAGACAGAAAATAAAGAGTACCAAGTTGTCTTAGCCCACAAAAGGACATTAATGACAAGTCATAAGTTTTTACCAAATTACCTCAAATTTGGCTGTCAAGTATCTTAGGAGTGTTCATAAGTTTGTGATTCATGTGAATTGTCTTACCCTATTCTTAAAATTTACTTTAATTTTAATTTTCGATTTTATTATTAACTCAAATGACGAACATGATTATATTTTTGTATAAAACTAATGATGTGTACACATGGTAAGTAGATCTTATTATATATATATTCATTAGCGGATCTATAATTTTTTAGGATGGTCAGATATATATTAATAATATAAATTTTTATATTTAGGTAGAAACGATAAAATATTAGGGTGGGCACGATACAATTTTAGAGTGAGCACGCGTATATTAATAATATTAATAGGGAAAATTTTAAAATTTAAAATAACAAAATTTGAATTCCTGAAAATTTCATGGTGGACATGCCCACCCTAGCATCAACATATGTCCACTCTCTCTCTCTCTCTATCTCTCTCTCTCTCTCTATATATATATATATATATATGAGATCAATTACAAAGTGTAAAACGTTTTCGTTTTACATAAATTTAAGATTGTTAAATGAGTAAAAATAAACAACTGAAATTAACAGTATCTAAAGTGGACTCTTTGGATCAATCAGTCAAAAATCTACACGTGATATATTTTTATAAGAAAGTTGTTCATTTACTTAATATACAGTATCAAAATTAGAGATTTGGTAATAATTAAATGTTTGAGTTTTAAAAAATTTACAACGGTATATCAACGAGAGAAGACGGAAAGAAGGGGAAGAAAATGAAGAAACCTAAAAGTATAAGGAACAAAATAATTTTCATTTCAAATTTCATTTAAAGAATACAGTGACATGTTTCAATTATATATGGAACTGTGTTGGATCACATTTTTAAACAATAAACAAAACTCTTATTATTTCTTATGCATATGATTCAAACTCAAAATCTTACTTAAAAATTTAACACTCGACCAAAATTTACCTTTTGTTGAGTTTAAATAAATATAAATTT